AGTCAAAGCATTAACCTTAATTGCTAGTTCTCCACTTAAAATAGATTTGAGACCCATTCTAGGGGAAGGTCTCCCCATTCTAGCTTCCTTTTTGAGAAAGAATCAACGTGCCTTGAAATTGAGCACTTTGGCTGCTCTGGACACCCTGGTGAAGAACTACAGCGACAGCCTCAAGCCTGCCATGATCGAGTCTGTGCTAACAGAGCTCCCTGCCTTAATGACTGAGAATGACATGCACGTGTCCCAGGTGGCCATCATGTTCCTCACGACTTTGGCAAAGGTTTATCCATCCTGCATCTCCAAGATCAGCTGCTCAGTCCTTGCTGAAATCTTTCAGCTTGTCCACTCGCCTTTGCTTCAAGGAGGGGCTCTGAATGCCATCATCGACTTCTTCCAGGCGCTGGTCCTGATAAAGACAGCCAGCACGGGTTACTCAGAGCTGATGAAGCAGCTGACAGCACCCGTTTACTCCTCGGGTTCGGCCGGGGCCCCGCTGCACAAACAGGCGTATCACTCCGTCGCCAAGTGCGTGGCAGCGCTGTCCTCGGCCTGCCCCAAGGAAGCACCTGTGACAGTGAACCAGTTTGTTCAGGATGTGAAAAGCCCCAAGTCCAGTCCTGCTGTTCAAGTGCTGGCTTTCCTCTCCCTGGCAGAGATGGGCCGTACCATGAACCTCAGTGCTCAGAGGGAACTCAGAACTGTCATCCTGGAAGCGTTTGCTTCCACCAGTGAAGAGGTGAAATCTGCTGCCTCCTATGCACTGGGGAATGTCAGCGTTGGGAATCTGAAGGAGTACCTGCCCTTTATGCTGAAGGAGATCGGAAGCCAGCCCAAGCGACAGTACCTGCTGCTGCACTCCTTGAAGGAAGTCATCAGCTCCTCCCCAGCCGACAGCCTCACGCCTTACGTAGAGGATATCTGGGCTCTGCTCTTCAAGCACTGCGAGTGCACAGAGGAAGGGACACGCAACGTGGTGGCAGAATGCCTGGGGAAGCTGACCCTGGTGAACCCTGCAGAGCTGCTGCCCCGGCTGAGGAAACACCTGTCAGCAGGTAACAGGGATGGTGATGGCCAGAGGGGGGAAATGCTGCCTTTTGCTGGAAATTCCTCTTGTAAACTGTTGGTGGGTACAACAGGGAGCTAAGCCAGACAGAGAGGTGAGCAGGAAATGAAAGATCTCTGCAGGGGAGATCAGAGGAGCATTGGTCTGCACAGGGACAGGAAGGTCTTGGGAACAGGGACCGCATGTGGAGATTGTGCAGGAGCAGATTTAAACACAGAGTTGTTAAGACAAATGCTCTGTTCTCTTACCTCTTCAACAGTGTGTAACTGGACCGAGAGCAGAATATGTGCTACAGAGTTACAGCAGTGACTTTGTCAGTTGGTCTTTCACTGTTTTTCTTCCCCCCTTCATCACAGGTTCTCCTCATGCCAGGAGCACTGTGGTCACCGCCATCAAGTTCACAATTGCAGACCAGCCTCAGCCCATTGATGCTCTCCTGAAAGGCTGCATAGGTAGGTGGTACGGACAGCAGTGTGAGGCGGGGCTGTGAAAGGCTGGGCATCATTACCAGCACGGGGATTTTTCACTCCACCTCATCTAGTCCAGTTAGTTTTGATCTGTGTTCTTCTGCTTTTGGGATTACAGAGCAATACTGTCCTGTGAGTCCTTGTTAAATGCTCTGATGCCTTGCTCTTGGGCATAGGGCATTGTTTTTTAGGGAGCTTAAGTTCCTTCTGTATTTAACTCAGACTTCAAGCCCCTCACAACAAGGATCTTGAAAAGTACAATCCATATGGAAACGGCTTTATTTCTAGGGAGCCCACACATTGGATCTGCTGTATAGAACTGGTCCTTCTATTTCAGAGAAGATCTGAGAAAAAAGGAAACCAAAAGCCAGTTTCCTCAAATACCAAAGGTGCTGATTTGACTTTAGGGTGAGGTAGCTAGAGACACAGTTTGGTTTTATGCCAAAATGCAGGAGTCATATTTTTTCCATTTATTGTATCCCAAACGGAGGGAGGGAAAGCATCTCCAATGGCTCTGTTAAGTGTGCCACTGGAGTTATCTTACCTTAGGTGCTTCCATAACCAGCCTTTTTGAAATATACCGATATACTTTTAAAATCCTTTAAAAACATTGCAGCAGGACTGACTGGTACTCTTACTCCACAGGTGACTTCTTACAAACTCTGCAAGATCCAGACCTGAACGTTCGCCGTGTGGCTTTAGCCCTGTTTAATTCTGCTGCTCACAACAAACCTTCTTTAATCTGGGATTTACTGAACATGGTCCTGCCCAGCCTGTACAGCGAAACGAAGGTCCGAAGGGAGCTCATACGGGAGGTAGGTCCAAAGGGACCTCATCCAGGAGGTGAATGGGCTTGGCTGGGTGCCACACACAGTGACTTGCTGATCGTGTGAGACGGAGCTGTTGCCCTGTCTGCTCTTAGGTCACACCTCTGTTGTTTGTCTTGGTTAAGGTAGAAATGGGGCCATTCAAGCATACAGTGGACGATGGCCTTGACGTGAGGAAAGCTGCTTTTGAGTGCATGTACACTCTGCTGGAAAGCTGCCTGGACCAGCTGGACATCTATGAGTACCTGAACCATGTGGAGGATGGGCTAAAGGATCACTATGATATTCGGGTCAGTGCTGTGCCCTAACGTAATTTTCTCTGGGGGCCTGGCCTGCAATTGACCTGTCTCCCCACAGCGTGCTCCTGTCATGCCATTTTCTATTCCCTGCAACTGCTGCAGCCTTTCATGATTGCCTCTCTGATTTGACTGTGGTGGCCTTGACAACATACCCCTGGTGCTTTGTAGGGAATGTACCAAAGTCTAAAATAAGTTTCTTCTGCTTTAAAGCAATGATTGTCATTTGTTCAGAGGGACCAGTGACACTATACTGAAAACAATCTAGCAATGCAATACTGGCTGCTGGCCTCACATCTGCATAGGAAGCAAAACATCCTTTTCCAATGTGATTTACTTTACCCCAGCTCAGAAGCAGGCACAGCCCTGTGCTGGGTGGTGCCTTTTGTCCCCATGGCCCTGTGCAGACACCTGCAGCACTGCATGCACCAGGCCTGCTGGCTGCCAGGGCTGCATTTCCAAAGCTCTGCCCAAAGCCCCTGGCACAAGTACAGAGGAACACACGCCAGTGTGGGTACAGCCTGGCCCGACAGCAGAGCGGGCCCAGCTCTGAGCGCAGGGGCTGCAGAACCAACCCGTTTGTCTCCCTCCTGCCCAGATGCTGACGTTCATCATGCTGGCGCGGCTCTCTGCGCTCTGCCCCAGTGCCGTCCTGCAGCGGCTCGAGCGGCTGATCGAGCCCCTCCGGGCAACCTGCTCCTCCAAGGTAAGAGCTGAACACGTGAGGGGCTGGGACAGATCCTGCCCAAAGCCACCTCTGCTCCCCTCATTTCCCCAGCTCTAAAATACTCTGCTACTGCGTTGGTTCTGTGCCTGAACCAGCTTTTCTAAATGCCAACTGCAAACAGGGCTTTGGATTTGCAGGTGAAAGCTGGTTCGGTGAAGCAGGAGTTTGAGAAGCAGGATGAGCTGAAGCGGTCAGCCATGAGGGCAGTGGCTGCTCTCCTGACCATCCCAGAGGTGGAGAAAAGTCCAGTGATGGCAGAGTTTTCATCCCAGATCAGATCCAGTCCTGAAATGGCGTCACTGTTTGAGAACATTCAGAAAGATTCTGCTTCCCTCTCCATCTCAGAGTCAATGGACATGAGCTAAGCTGTGTTTCCCCCACTGCCCTCCTGCTCTTGCAATGCCCCAGCCAGAGACACCAGCTGGGCCTGCGGGGGGAGGGAGGGGGTGGGTGGAACGAAGGCCATTGAGCCACTCTCCTGCCACAGCCATGTGCAAGTCCCTGGGCAGCCACAGGAGAAACTGCCTGGATCCAGCAGCACTTGCATCAGACACCTCATGGATCAGGGGAACACATCCTCATGTAGGGGAGGGGCTGAAAGGTGAGCAGTCCCACTTCTCAGCAAGTTTTAAGGGGCACAGAATGCAACTGCAATTGAGCGTGGTTCCATGAACAATGGAAACTACTTCCCGATATACTCCCTACTGCAGTACAAAGAAATATAGCTTTAAATGGTTTTTTTAATGACTGCACATGCACTTTCTACCCCAGACTGCCCAAGAATGTATTTACAGTGTTTCCCTAAATAACATGACTTAAAAACTTAAGTCACATCTTTAGTGACGAGCATCACTCCCACAGGCCTTTTGGGAAAGGAGACTTGCATCAGCCAAGCTGCAGGAGCTACGTAGGGCAGGGGGGTTACCTAAGCCCCCAGGCCTTCCTCCTGGGGGCTCCACATTTTGGCATTTGGGCAAAACAAAGCTTTCTAGCTTGGCTTCCATTTTTACAGTTTTGACTGGAGAATACCTCAAGCGTCTCCTCCAAGGGATGATTAGTGACCATCTCAGTGACAAACCCTGCTCTGAGCTCTGCTTTGCACCAACACTGGCTTCTCTCCCCCCTTGGAGCACCTCAGTGTGCCACGAGGGCACCAACCTACTGACCCTGGTCACAGATCAGCAGGAGACACCTGCAGGAGTGCTGGTGGTCTGTTAATGTCAAAGGGTTTTGTGAAAGGTGGCAGGCCAGAGGTGCAAACACACAATCCATAGCAGCAGCTGTGCTCAAATCCTGCTCTGTGCAGGAGAAAATGCCTTAAGGGACAAAGAATGTTAACAGCCAACTAGAGCACAAGGCCACCATGACACACTGGGGCTGTGGCCATTGGCCTGCCCTATGCTTTTCTTTTGACAGGGTGGTTGACGTGAAAAGTATTTACAGTGCTGTGTGAAAGAACAGCTAATGTCTGAATGGTATAAAAATAAAATACACTTGTGAAGCTGCATGCCCTGAATTCACTGACCATCACCCTGACACTGCACCTCGCTGTGCGAATGCCCCAAGACAGCCAGGCTGGGGCTGCTGCCCCTGCTCTGCCCATGCAAAACAGCACCCGAGTTGGACTGAGGCTTTATTAAATACACCTGGGCTGCAGAGCTTGGTTACTCGTTCTCCTCGCTGCGCAGTCTGGCGTTGGGGTTGGTGATCTTGATGGCGAGCTGTGCTGCTCTCTCCACAATCACCTTCCTGTTCTTGGAGGACACGTTGTGAGCTATCTCTGCACAGTACGACCTGTCAGAGACAGACAGCATGTCAGGTTCAGCTCCAGCAGAGCTGAGAGCCAAGGCAAAGCCCTCTGGTTCTGCCCCACCACAGTAAAGCCCTCCAGAGACATCCCGCTGTGCAGCCAAGCACAGGGGCACCAATGCATGGGAACTGAACCACACAATTTCCACCCCTTCACCAAATGTGACCTGTTTGGTGCGAAGCAGAAGCTTCCCTCCAGAACAGCTCAGCCCTTCTTGCGAATGACTGAGTCCCAGATAGCTGTTAATGGTGTTGGTTACTGCTCTTATTGCTTCGTAGTGAAAGCAACCAGATAAGCAGACTCAGTCCTGGAGCCCCAGTTCTGACCACGGTCACCAGTGACAAATCACAGCTCTGATTTTGCCACTGTTATGTCTATTTTTACCAGGTATGAGTTTTTTAGTTCTCTCTGTGCCCCAACACCAGCAGCACTGAGAAAACCACAACAGCATCTGTGCTCCTGAAAGCAACAATCTCCCTTCTGTCACCCTGACCGCTCTGCCTCTCCCAGGTGCGAGCACACAGGCCCCACACACTCACTTGTTGCTCATCATCAGCACTTCCAGCTCTTTGACATTGTGGACCAGGAATTTTCTGAAGCCTGTGGGCAGCATGTGCTTTGTCTTCTTATTGCTGCCATAGCCAATGTTGGGCATCAGGATCTGCCCCTTGAAGCGCCGGCGCACTCTGTTGTCGATGCCCCTTGGTTTGCGCCAGTTGCGCTGCAGGAATGCACAGATCAGTTACACGAGATCAGCCTGAACACCCCTGCCCCGAGGGCTCAACACCCTTGCCTGGACAGCGGCCCCCACAGACCCTTCGTGCCCGGCTGCTGCCACCCCCTGCGCTTCCCTTCACCGCCATCCCAAAGGCACCCCCGGAGTTCTCGGGGACCGACAGCGACTGCTCACCTTGATTTTGACATATCGATCGGACTGGTGCCGGATAAACTTCTTGGTCCTCTTCTTGACGATTTTGGGTTTCACGAGAGGCCTGAGAGCAGGCATGGTGGCTGCGGGACAAGAGCGGGGTGAGCGGGGGTCGCGGCCGGGCGCGGCGCGGCCCCCCGGGCAGCGCGTGTCGCAGACTGTCTTCCCCCGCGGGCCACGCCGGGCTGGCGAGGGAATGGGTCTTCATCTGCTGTGGCTCTACCTCCCGCCTCCGAAGCTGGCAGAGCACTGCGAGCTCTCCAGATGCGATCCTGGGAGGTGCCCCGGTGTCACAGCCCCCCCGATGGCTCTGCCCGCAGTCCGGCGCTCGCACCGAAGCCGGACGGACCGCGGCTGCTCGCGGGGAGCAGCGACCGACACCGGCTGGCACCGAACGCGCCGGGCCCGGCCCAAAGGCTCGGCCGGGCCCGTGAGCGAGCGCCGAGAGCGCCCCGCCGCCCGGGCAGGGCCGCGGGCCGGGCCCCAGGCAGGCAGAACCCCGGCCCTGCGGGGGCCGCTTCTCGCTCCCCGGGAAAGGTGAAGCGAAGGGAAGGGGAGGGGAGGGGGCGCCGGTCCATGCCGCGAGCCCCGGGGCCGGCTGGGTCCCGGCTGGGCGCGGATGGGCGCGGATGGCGCGGATGGGCGCGGATGGGCGCGGATGGGCGCGGATGGGCGCGGATGGGCGCGGATGGGCGCGGATGGGCGCGGATGGGCGCGGATGGGCGCGGATGGGCGCGGATGGGCGCGGATGGTCCCCGTCCCCACTCACCGCTGCCGATGGCGCGTCCGCCGCGGGCCCGCCGAGAAAGGGAGGAGCCCCTCGCGCAGGGGCTTATGGGATACGCGAGAGGTCCTGGCAGCTGCGTGAGGCGCCAAGGCCGCGCGGAGCAGGCACCGGGCACCGGTGGGGCGCAGATCGCCGCCGGGAGCGGGCACCGGGCCGGCTCTGTCCGGAAGAAACGTCCCGAAAGAGCGGATCGGTGCTTCCCGCCTACGGTCCCGAACGACGCTCTCGGGAGGAGCCTGCCAGGACCTGCTGACGTCACTGCCACAGTGCTCCCGGCAGCCGGGCCGGGCTGGCACCCCCTGGCGGTGCGGAGGCCCCGCCGGGCCCGTGTCCCCGGCAGGGACGGGGAGCGCCGCTGTCGCCAGGCCCGGCACACACAAAGCACCCGGCCCGGCACCGGGCTCGGCGCCCTGGTTCTGCCGCTCCCGGGCACCGGCAGCAGCGAGGACGGGGGCTGTGACGGCCCCGAGGGGCTGCTTCTCTCCCGGCCGGGGGGGCTCACCGACCCCGGGCCCGTCGCAGAGCCGGTCCCAGCCAGCACCCGGGAAGCGCCGGGGCCGGTCCGCGGAGCGGCGTCTCCTGTCCCCGCTCCTGCTCCAGCTCCAGCCTCGGCTCTTGCCCAGCAACACAAGATCGGAGCAGGCTCCGGGGGCGGCGATGGCAGGCACGGAGAGGAGGCTGCACGCACAGGACACAGACCCGCACTGCAGGAAGGGACAGGCACTACAACCACGGACACCTTTATTTAAAAAATAGAGATCAGACACTTGTCATTACAGCGATGACCCGAGCCAAGACATCACACAAATATCGACACCAAGAACTGTGAAGTCACCCGAGTGCAGGCGGAGGGGCTGGGGCACCCCCACCTTGCCTGGGCTCAGTCAAGGCTCAGCTTCTCCCGGTTCTCCCACAGCCACGCATGGTACACGTTCAACTTGTGGTCCTGTGGCTGCACCTGGAACACAGGGAAAGTTCTAAATCACCTCCTCTCCAAACACCTCATCACTCCAACACTGTGAGTGCTGGTTTTCTATTCCCAGAGGTCGGTGGACACAAGCCCGGTCCTGCCCCGGCCACAGCGCCCACCTCCTTCCACTCGTTGACACAGAAGATCCTGTAGGAGTCGTTGCCGTACTTGCCGATGCCGTGCAGCTCGATCGGGTACCGCCACCGCTTGCTCAGGTACTCCCCTGAAAGGCAGGGCACAGCCCTTGGGACCCCCTCCCCTGCACCAGGCACAGGGAGCACCTGGGCAGAACTCTCCTTCTCTGCCAGTGGAACACGACTCCACTTTGGCACATTTCAAATGAAAAACCCAAGCTTTAGGTGTTTCCTGGTGCATGCAGGCCATGAATCCCCACAGGTACATTTTAAGCACTTTTTTAATAAATCACCATGGGAGAGTTTCAGTCACCTCTCCTCAGAACAAAGTATTCCTCTGCAGGTTCTGAGTATAGAAAATATTAGAATCATAGAGAAATTCTGCTGGAAGGGCCTTCTGCAGGTCAACAGAGCAACCCTGAGCAGAGCCACCCTATCCCAGTGCTGCAAACACAGCAGCAGTGCTGCAGGTGTTAGGTCTCCTCTGCTCCAGGAAATCTGGTCTCCTGCACAACTTATCCTGGCTGGCACTCCCCTCCCCGTTCAGACTGGGATCAGCAGCTCAGCCTGCGTGACACTAACAGAGCCCAAATGACGCACAAAATAACCCACCAGGCGACCAAACTGCCAAACAGAGGAGAAGCCGCGGAGCAGCATTTAGATTGAAGCTGTTTGCCTTTTGCCAGAGTAACCGAGACCATTCCAGGAAAACCCACCCGAGAACCTGATGATGGTTTTGGCTCTGAGTTCGTAGAGGCCAAGAGGTCTGAGCAGCTCTGACATCTCTTTCCAGTCTGCAGCCCTGGCTACCTCAGGAGAAGGGTACTTCTTCAGGAACTCCCAGAGCACTGGAATTGCCATTTTCCCTGGTGAAAGAAGCCTGTGAGCAGAAGGCTGGGCCAGGAATTCTTCTGCATTATCCAAATGCTTTCTTAAGTGAGCTTTTCCAAGGCAAGAGTTACCAACTAAAGATTGTTTCACGCTGACATGAGTTAATATACACCTATTATTTCATGAATGCCATTAGAACTGGCATCAGTTTTATCCCTGCAACACCTGCCAACATTCACACACCAGCTCCTGCTACTCTGCTTACCTGAAGTTTTATTGAGAAATATGGTGGCAATGAGAAGCTTCCATGGATCATGGAAGAGTGTTTCTTGGACCAGATTGAAAGGAGAACGTGGAGGGGTCCATTTTCTGAGGGTTTTCCTTCTGGGGGGGCTGGGGGCTGTACAGGGACAACACAGAAACATTTATTGGACAGAAAAGGACAGATTTACCTATTTAATTTAAACAAAAATTTAAAAGTAGGACTTTTGAAGCAGATTGACCTTTGTGGGGGCACTGTGTGTGGATGCAGCCACGGCAGTTCCCACATAGCCTTTTCAGAGCTGCAGGGGACTATGTACCCTCTGGCACAGCTGCAGCCAGAGCCAAGGCTGCCAGACTCAAACTGCAAGGCACTTGCCAGAACATCACTTGATCCTGAGCCATCTATCCCTTCCCCATAAAAAAAAAAAAATATTTCCCTACAGAATATAATACCTTCTTTGCTGTATTTACTGGAAAAATATGGACTTGTTTTCCTTCTCTCCACTTGTGTTCGTGGGACAGACTCTTCTGTAAAGAAATAAAACCTCAGCATTAGGAAGAAGAACCAAGTTATTTTGCTGTTGTGTTTCATACGCCACTTAATGCTGTGTTGGAAACAGAAGAAATTTTTGTCATGCACAGAACACACACATGCCCTAGACCTGCTGCAGGTCTCACACTGTAGAGCTCAAGAGCTTGGAACAGAAAGTTCCAGGTGTGACTAAATCTGCATTGAGTTAAACACTGTTGGATAAAGAAATGAGACAGAGTCGGATGTTAGAGCAGGTCAACCCAAAACAGAACACCTGGCTCAAACAGTCAGGACAGCTCCTGGCTGAAGGTGAGGGCTGGAGTCACATTCTGCTCACACACATATGTACCTGGTGTCCCTCTGACAGCTGTGCAGCTCATCCTGTCCCACGGCTCAGCATCCGCCTCGGTGTTGGATTTAACATCCTGCTTACCCACAGGCCCCCCATCTGGCTCTTTCCCTGTCTCCAGTCCGTGGGATTTCTCCTCAGCTGGGTTGCTGAAGCTTGTCCCCATAGGCCCCTCTTCTGACAAGTGCCCCGAGTCCCTCTGCGAGCCAGCAGCCCCTGACCTCAGCCGTGTGCCTGCCCGTGCCCTGGACACTGCTGACAAAGCTTTGCCTGCACCCACAGGTTCAGCACTCAGATCACCCACACCCTGGCTGTCAGCCCCACTCCCCTCTGTCTGTCTACAGAACCTCTTGTTCTGAACACACTCGATCTGCCGTGTGCTACGGACTCTTCTCTGCCTCTTGCTCTGGGGGTCACCTTGGTTCCTCCTTTCTGAGGTCTTCCCAGGTTTTCTACTCTGGACACTTTTCCCACCTGCCCCCTTCCTTTTAGTTTTCAAACCCTCCTCTGGGTCTGTGCCATCCATGACCAAATCTGTGCTTTCCAAAGTGGATGTAACATCTTCCAGGTGTCCATTCCCAGCATGGATGTTCTGAATTCCAACCTTGGACCCATTCTGTGCACAGAGCTCCTGCACTTGGCTATGACAATCGTCCTTCTCCAGGTCAGTCCTCGCAGCTCTCGTCCTGCATCCCCTCACTCCTGAATGTGTGCTTCCCCGAGGAACTGTGAAATCAAAATCTGCTGCTTTCAGTATTGTCTCTCCAGTTTTCTGAAAATACTCCACAAGTGCTCGTTTCGACCTCAGCTTTTTCCCTTCAGGGCTGTGGTAGGAAAGGAAAGAGGGCATGGTCTAAGACAAGAGGGCACGGTCTCAAGCTCTGCCAGGGGAGGTTTAGGTTGGATATTAGGAAAAAACTCTTCACAGAGAGGGTAATCAGGCATTGGAATGGGCTGCCCAGGGAGGTGGTGGATTCTCCGTCCCTGGAGGTATTTAAGAAGAGACTGCATGTGGCACTTAGTGCCATAGTCTGGTAACTGTGGTGGTAGTGGATCAAGGGTTGGACTCGATGGTATCAGAGGTCTTTTCCAACCCATCTTATTCTATGATTCTATGAAAGTAAATTAGTGACTTGTTTTTTCTCTTGTTTTTTCCTGAAAAGCTTATGGTACATTTAAAAAAAAACCAGGACAGAAGGAGTTGTTGGGGCACGTTTGAGTGGCTCGACCAAGAAAGGCCACACAGAGCTCACCTGATGGCTCAGCTCACCTGATGGCCCCCGACCTCACCTGACAAAGTACACGTCAATCCTCCCGGCCGTCCTGCCCGCCCGCCTGCGGCTGCTCACCCGCCGCCACCCGCGGGGAACGGCGCTGGGCCCCGCCGGGCCGCGGGGCCTGCAAGGGAAGGACAGCCCGGGTGAGGTCCTGCTGCGGGGGGGCCGGGGTCGGCGGGGCAGGCCTGGGCCCGAACCCAGAGCCCCACAGGGTCCTGGGAGGCAGCTGGCCCCGGCCCCGGCCCCGGCCCCGGCCCCGATCCCGGCCCCGATCCGATCCCATCCCATCCCATCCCATCCCATCCCATCCCGTCCCGTCCCGTCCCGTCCCGTCCCGTCCCGCCGTTACCCGCCCGCCGCTGCCGCCGCCACCATTTCCCGCGCCCCGGTCACGTGACGACCCGCCCTGTCCGGCGCGAGCTCCCCCCGGCGGGTGACAGCGCCCCCTGTCGCGCAGGCGGCCCCTGCGCGCAGGCGCGTTGCCCATGGCGCCCGGCGCCGCGCGAGCCCGGGCTGAGGGCCGTGAGGGCGGTGCGGGCCGGGCCGGGCCGGGCCGGGCCGTGAGGGCGGTGCGGGCCCGGCCATGCGGGCCGCGCTCACCTGGCGCGACAGGGCCGAGCAGTGGTGAGCGGCCCCGGGGACACCCGGCGTGCGGGCGGCAGCGCGGGGGCGGTCCCGGAGGTTCACTCGGGAGTCAGACGCACCCTCACCGTGCCTTTACCAGTCTCGGCTGTGTGGCACCTCTGACGCTCAGGGAGTGTTTTCTGCCTCCAAACACGGGGTTTTTGCTTGGTTTGTTTCCCTTAGTATTTACGACCTCGCGTTCAAGCCGGATGGGACCCAGCTTATAGTTGCTGCTGGAAACAGGCTGCTGGTAGGGAAACCTTCCTATCCTCTGTCTTCTACAGCTGTATGAACGTGATTTCTTCCACATTAACTTATGAATATAACCTATCCAAAATCCCCTTATCTCTGCCAGCCCAGCCTCACAGCCACATACATATTAATGCAGACCAACTCTAAAGTGATTTGAAGCTTTTTAATATTTCTTACCAAGTTTTAAGCTCTATTTCCAAAAGTGATGAGATTTAAATTATTTGCATCCTCTCGTGCCTCGCCCGAGGTTTGAAATCCGTGAACCTGCCCGCAGGCCTGGCACAGAGCAAGGAGTGCAGAGGCTGTGCTGGTACAAGTTTCATTAAAATCTCTGTGAGAAGGGGAGAGACTCAAATCCGTGTCCCGGTGTTGTGGGAACCTTCAGCTCGAGCTGTTTGAGGGTCCCTGGAGCTGCTGCAAGAGCAGCTCCGCTCCAGCTGCTCACAGGTCCTGCAAAGCTTTGAGATGGGGCAGGGGTAGGAGCTGCAGGGAGGGATGGGTTGTAGAGTTCAGCATCGCAGGACAGCAGGAGTTATTTTCAGTGCTCACAGAATGGTGAATTTAGTGATGTTCCCTTACAGTAACTTATTACCTTTAAACATCTAATGTGGAGAAAGATGTTTAACAGTAAGATGTAAAAGATGAAAATAAAAGATAAAAAACCAGTAAGACTTAAAACAAGATGCCAAATGAGCTGGTGAGAAATCTCTTTTGTGTGTAATTTTCTAGTACTGATTTTTCTTTCCTCCCAAGAAGTATCATGTTACAGAAAGCTGCTTCTATGCTTGAAAACGTTTTGTCTTGCATGAACTGTGTGCTATGCAAAAAGCAGGCACAAAAGGAAGTGCTGTTGTTGTCCCTCAGTAATTTTTGTTTGTTGTCCCTCAGTAATTTTAAATCACAGTCCTCACCCTAGAAGTGTTTGAGGCCAGGTTGGACAGGGCTTGGAGTAATGTGGTCTTCTGGAAGGTGTCCCTGCCCATGGCAGGGAGGTGGAACTGGATGAGCTTTAAGGTCCCTTCCCCTCCAAACCAGTTTGTGGTTCTGTGATTCACTGGAAGATTGTTCATATAAGTTCTTCTGTTTGTGTATTTTCTTTGGTTTTTTTCTCCCCATTTAAACAGGTATATGATACTTCTGATGGAACCCTAATTCAGCCTTTGAAGGGACATAAGGACACTGTGTACTGTGTGGCTTATGCCAAAGATGGTAAATATCACTTTGGGGCTTTGTTAGTCTGGTTTGTGAAGTGCATCTCTCCCATTTGTTATTGCCCACTGAGAACGGAGAAATGAGCATTGTTTCGGTCACAGCATGTGAGTGCTGGGGTTTGTTCTTTAGCAAGTGCTGGGATTTGTTCCTCAGTGGAGGGTTCAGTATGCTGTACAACATGCTGCCTGCAAGGCCACCTGGGAATCCAAGAACTGTGATCCCACTACTCCTTCAACTTCAGTTTAAGTTTAGTACTGCTTAGTGTATATTCATGGGTAATGTTTGCTCCAGAGATCCCTCTTTCTACTACTCATCTTTTTTCCCCGTAGTTCTTCTATCCTGGATCTTTCTGATCTCCTGATCCTTCACACATGACCTACTCACTGCAGACCTCCCTCTGCTTCCAGTTCTGCCACGGTCTCTGACTCTCAATCTGTGGGACTGACTCTGTGGGCTCAGGGGGCTTGCTGCAGCTGCTGCTGTTTGAGTGATGGGTGTTCCTGTGACAGTGTACCCATTTTCCTTGTCACTGTCGCCATGAATCTCCAGCTTGGGGCTGGCAGCACTGGAAGGCCGGGTTGCTCACAGGGCTGTGGGAACTGTGCAGTAGAGCTATTGGAGTTCCATGTGGCTGGGGAAGCGCCAGCACATCCAGGCACTCAGTATCAGCCCCTTTATTACTTGAGCCTTGTCGAGTTCAAGAACTTCTTGCTCTCTCTTTGATTGAGTATTGGGTGTGAAAGTGATTTTTGTATGTGTGGGATTAAAAATCTCCAATTCCTAGGCAAGCGTTTCGCATCTGGCTCTGCTGATAAAAGTGTGATAATTTGGACTTCAAAGTTAGAAGGAATTCTGAAGTACACGTAAGTGATACCATTCAGTTCTGTGCCTCAAAAGCCAATTTTTATTATGCACTGGTGCTCTCAAAGAGCACAAGCTGTTAGACTTGGGAGAAAGTTCATGAAGGTCAGAGAAAATGCCAACGGTGATAGGGGAGGGAGGAGGAAAAGAACAGTTGAAATATCTGAATGAGGCAGGAAAGCAATTAAGGGGATAAAAGGGGGTGGGGAGTCGAAATAAATCTGAGTTTAGAGGGCTGGTAGAGAACTGGGGAAACTCAGAATAGGTCAGAATAAAATAAAACACAGTGTGACTGTTCTTGTATAATAAACCATAATTCTGGTTCAAAGATCAAATTAAAGATGGATTTGGTACTTTTGGTATGTTTCAATCTTCTGGCTCTGTGTTTATATCAGCCTTCTGAAGTGATAACTCACGTTCTGTTTCGGACTGCACATTTATCATGAGTTGGTTTGCACGAGCTGGTCACTGCATGGAGCCTGGATGAGCACACTTGGTTTAGAATTTGGATACAACATTTAGTCATATTTCACAAACCACTGTTGCTCTACTGTTTTAGCTAATCTTGATGAAATACACTGTATCCTGCCACTTGGAGACAATTTCTGTATGGTTTATTACGGATTTACTTTACAGTAATAGCAGATTAACTTGTACTATAAACCAATCCAGTTATTTTGGCATCTGGTAAAGCTTTCAGCTCTCTTGCTGAAAGTCAGAAAAGGGGCATTTAAGAATGATTTATTGAAATCTGATTGCAACTTCATTCTAGGCATAATGACTCTATCCAGTGCGTTTCATACAATCCTCTCACTCATCAGCTGGCATCCTGCTCGTCTGGGGATTTTGGTATGTCATTTCCCTTGAACTTTTCCATTGAGCCAGTGAATACCATCACAGTAGGCTAGCTAAGCTAGCCACAGATAGGTACAGCTCTGTATCTCTAGAAGAGATGTGACACAAAGCTATCTAAAGGCTCAGTGACATTGGATACTGATTTAAATCACTTAATCTCAGTGGGAAAGGACAGTGTAGTGAGGGGCCACAGGATAAAACATGCTACTCTGTTATTACTGGAATTTTTTGCAAAGACACCCTCTGTTATTTAGATGGATTTTTTTTTCCTATTTACTAATAAATAGTATATATTTGAATGTCCCTCTAGCAACAGACAAGACTTTGATGCCTTTGGAATCCCAGCTGAGTTCTCTGACAATATTAGTTTCCAGTCTGAGCTCTGGCTCATGCTTATTTTTCATTGGCTTCTTGTTTGTTTTCATCAAGGCTTGTGGTCTCCTGAACAGAAGTCAGTCTCTAAACATAAAACGAGCTGCAGGATCACCTGCTGTAGGTAAGTTTTAAGGATTACCTTAAGTCATTTAAGTTAGTTTCAATACAAACCATTCCAAATAAGATGCAAGCTTAAAAAACACATGTTTTTGGGGTTGTATTTTGTTCTGTTTATAACCAGATTCTTCTGAAGGCATCAGAGAGGTGTTCTGGTCTCGAGCAAATGTCTTAGGTTCTCTGTCCCTCTGTTTTTCCATCTTGTGCAATAGCAGTAGAATTAAATTAGAGGAAAAATAATTGCAATTTTTGTTTGCAGAGCTGTTCATCCTCTGTGCTGTTGGTGGTATTACTGTTGTGGGCAACCTGAAGCAAGGGTTCATTAATTGAAGTTATCCATCTGACTACAGTGGAGACCAGATTAGACCCCAGGCCCCCTCTGTCCCACACCAGGCAGTTCTATCTGCTAATGTTCTAAATGTGGTTTTTAAAGCATTCTGGAGGGCTGCCAACACTGCCATCCCCAAAATGGATCTGTGACTTAGCACGTTACAAGTGTTGCAAGCAGATGATAGCTTTAATTTATTTTTTATTACTGTGTATATGATAAAATGTTCTCTATGTAGTGCATGCTGTTGCCATAAATGTGGATTTAGATGCATAAACAAACTGTAGATTTACTGGCTACCTCTCAGAACTCCCTCTTAGAAATATATTTGAATCTACCATCCCTGTGTGAGCATGCTGTACCATCCTACCTTCCTGCTGCTTGTTTGTAGTAGTTTACTCTTCAATATGTGTGTGTTTTCTCAGCTGGACAAATGATGGCCAGTACCTTGCTTTGGGGATGTTCAATGGCATTGTCAGCATAAGGAACAAAAATGGTGATGAGAAAGTGAAAATAGAACGTCCAGGGGGTTCTTCCTCTCCAGTATGGTCAATTTGTTGGAATCCTTCCAGGTAAATAATTTCATCCTTCTTTTTTTTTTTTTTTTATGCTGAATAGATAATCCTTGGGTCATTGATTGCAGAAAGGCTTGACTTTTATCCTTGATGAAACATGCTGTGTACATTACCTTTTTTAAGGGATCATATATTGGGGGTTTGGCTTTGCTACCAGTCTTTAATTGAGTGGAGAAGCTGGGAACAAGTT